ATCATTGGTTTAATCTACTAATATGGATTAACTGGGTAATAGCTGTAGGCAGGTAGGGTACAGCTGGAGGAGAAAGGTCATTGGGGGTGTGCCTTTGGGGTAAAGCTCTCTGTGTTACCTGGTGCCATGTTCTGAGCTGCTTTTCTCCTCTATATCATTCTACCATGATGTTCTGTCTCACCTCCGGCCCAAAGCAATGAACTAACACCTTTGAAATGGTGAGTGCCAAATACACTTTTTCTCCTTTAAAATTCATGTTAGGTCTTTTGGTCACAGTGATGAAAAAGCAGACTAAAATATCAAAGAACCGACTTTTGGTGTCACTGATTTTCTCTTCTCTATTTCACTTATATCTGCTATAATCTTTTATTATTTTCATTCTCCTGCTTGCCTTGGGTTCAGTCTTTTATTCTTCTTCTAGTTTCTGAAGTAGAAGATAAGGCTGCTAATTTTGAGATTTTTTTAAAAAAATATATATTTTTAGATGTAGTTGGACACAATACCTTTATTTCACTTATTTATTTTTATGTGGTGCTGAGGATTGAACCCAGGGTCTCGCATGTGCGAGGCGAGTGCTTTACTGCTGAGCCACAACTCCAGTTCCATTTTTGAGATCTTTTTTCCCTTTTCTTGGTTCTGGGGATTGAACCCTGGGGTGCTTTACCACTGATCTACATTCCCCAATCCTTTTTATTTTTTATTTTGAGACAGGGTCTCACTAAGTTGCTGAGAGTCTTGCTTCATTGCCCAAGATGGCCTCAAACTTGTGATCATCTTGCCTCAGTCTCCTGAGTCACTGGGATAACAGGCATTCACCACTATATCTGGCTCTTCTCAATTACAGGCTGTTACCAACCACTACACTTTGTGCTACTTCAGAATTACTTTAATGTTCTACAAATCTTGCAGGGCTAAGAAGCTAACACTTTTGAGTAGCTACTTCTTATCAGGTATAAAACATTACTTAAACAAATTCACATTTTATGGTAAAATGAATAAAGAAACAGAAGTATAAATCAGGGATTTGTTGATTGTTCTGTTGAGCACCTACAGATGCCAAGTAGGAATTTATTTTTAGCTATAATATACCTGAAACATATCTGTACTCAGAATAATAACCTATTTCTCTGATTGTCATATTTTAGACAACTTGAATGTTCTGAAATACATCTGTGAACTCAAAAATGATTCACAAGATAGTTTCAGGCCCTTCTGCTTGGCATTTACCTGTTTTCTTTCCTAACCTAGGAAATTCCTCTTTGTCTTCTAAGACTGAGTTTAAATGTCAACTCTCCTAATCTACCTCAGTCCTAGGTTCTATGGTATTCATCCCATACTGAACCATCCTTTTACCTTTCTATATCCATCTCCTCGCCAAGGCCGTGGATTACCTAGGGGCAGACTCAAGGGTGAGGTGCCACTTGCATCTTTGTAGTTCTCAGTAGCCCCCACCAGCCGACTCCAGACAGCTTGGGAATTGGTGACTCAGACATTACTGATGTATTCCCACCTGCTCCAACACCAGCATGGCCAGCCCTCTGCTCCCAGCCATGCTGGGATCCCAGGCCTGGAGAGAGCTTAAGGTGAATCTGCAGCCTCTACGTCCCTCATTTGGAGCCTTGAAGTGTGGCTAGGGTCACTCTTAGGAGTGTAAAGATGAAACATACATGGTTGGTTTGCTGGGGTAGCAGGTAGACGGGCACTGACAAGAATGAGGAGTGACCATAGAAAATAGAGGCAATCACAAGAGAGGACACAAGAAAAGCACCAAGCAGAGTAGCACAGAGCAGAAGGCTCTTTAGCCTGGGGCACAGAGCTCTCTGCACTTCAGAGGCCCCAAACATCACTGGGTGTCAAGGCCAGATGCACAAGCAAAATGGTTGGTAAAATTCAGTGAAAGAACAAAGTAGGCCCCACACAATTTTATAGCCCTAGAGGGCATTAATACATCAAAATTTAGTTCAGTATCATGTTCAAAACAGAACCTGAATCACTGAGAAAAGGTTAAATGATATTCACCACATCTGTCAATAGGTTGCCAAGAACAAACACATTTTAGAAACACATTTCTTTCAAAAAATGCAAATTTTCTCATAGATGTCAGAGCTTAAAGTAAGAAATTATCTAGACAATAGGGGCCACCTTAATCCCAAAGATAATGTGTCAGGTACACAGAGACACATTACTTACAATGAGCCACAGCAGTTTCCAAGGCAAGGCAAGCAGGAATTGGGGAGCACCTGGTCACATAAAGGTCTTAAGGTAAGAAGTTCTGTGGAGAGAACAACTCTGGGGCGCCAGGTGGTATCTTGAGGACATCACTCATATACTGAGCAAGCCAGCTCTAAGTCAGAGAAACTCCACCACCAAAGTTAAACTGGATCACCCAGATTTCTAACTGGAGCCTGTGTTCTTCTGTTGCCTTGGTTACCCTTCCAGTTCCTGATCTGTGGTCCAAGTTTCATGTTCATGATTCTTATTCCTCTGTTTAGATTTTGGGGTCTTCTATTTGGCCACATGGTGGATAATTCTGGCTCCGTCCCACAGTTCTACCCCTTGACTCTCAGGCTGGCTCTAACTTTCACTTCTGGCCATTCTGGCTCCTGTGCACCCTGGTCTTGTTTTACTGCTTCTTCACTCTTTGCCATGACAGAAGGTCAAGACAAATGCACAATATAATAGTGTATGTTAAGCTGGGCTCTGCTATAGCTATTTTGTACATGATTCCAAATAAACTCACTTTATTTGAATTGGCCTCCCTTAGAGGTAGCATTTTTTGACATGACTTTTCTCTAACTGGAAACAGTACCAGTTTCTGATACCCATACCCAAGGAGCAATTGGCTCAATTCCTGGCTGGAATTCATTCATAAATATAAGCACTAAAAGTCAGATCTCTTGATAGCTACTTGTCCCATGGGACCTACATGGGCAGGTTTAACCTTAGAAAGTCACTCTATAAGAGGTTCTCAAACATTGAAATGCAGAGTTACCTATGAAATTACCAGCCTCTGGGCATCGTCTCCAGATTACTCAGTAATCAGGGCCCAGGATTCTGCGTCTTTAAGAATCTAAGCCAGTTAGTTCTTGGACCACTCTATGAGGAACACTGCATCACAGCAAGGAAAAACCTGACACATACACAGGACAAGCACAGCTAAGTACAGCTCCCCACCAGCCTCTTCTCTGATGCCATCAGGCACCTTGCTACCACAGGTTACTTAGGCTTAATCTTCCCCAATACTCTTAACTGCAAAATATCAGCTCAGTTCAAAGATCAACTTGCATTTAGTCAAGACAAAGTCGATTTTCTAGGTTTCCATAAAGAAGATATTCTAAAATGGTTTTGGAATAAATGAGGATATGATTTTATGTATTTTTTTCTCTTGAATGAAGAAGAAATGCTATAAAGAAAAACATACCATTGAAGTGACAGACTACTGCTTCACAGAACATCACCCTATAATAATTTCAAGTCTCATGATTTTGCCCAAATTAAACAAGTAAAATATTTCAAATTTACAGCAACCACTGCTACTATAAATATGGAATGAAAATATCTATCTGATCCAGAAAACCTTCAAATTAACTCTCCAGCAATACACGTATTACTGCTGAGGAGTATCTGTACCTGAATCTTCTGCGGCCCAGGAGCCCGGCAAAGCAAGAACAGCAGGGCCTGGGAAGTGCAGCAGGCTGTGCATTGAGATGGGTGGGCCAAGTTTCCCTGGGCATTTCCCCAAGCACAACTGGAGGGAGACCTCAGGAAAATCAGTTTAATTAGGAGGATTCTGATGGGGATAGGAGGCTTTTGGAATCTAAGATGACAGGAGATATTGATGAGCTATTAGATCCAGGAGGCCTGTCTGATATCTGAGATAATGGCGTCTCCATTTGTTTCAGGACGATGCCTTCATTTTTGCACCAACATGGTTTATGGCTTGCAGGGGATATATGGACTGACTGATGCAACCATTAAGGATGTTAGAGCCCCATTCTTACTATTATTGTGATATGTGTGTGTTTTTGTCTTTTTCCTAGGAGGATCTTTATTTTTTCTCCCAAATCTCATAACTGGTTATGCAGATGTTTAATTGAGAGGAATAACTATGAATTACGGTTTGTTTTTTTCCTTTTAAACTTTCCTCTCTGAATCATTTATTGCTTTCCCTCTCTATTTACAAGTGTTCCAAATATTAGAAAATTAAAGTTTAAAAAATAAACAATTGCTGGTAGGCAAGCCCAAGCCCAAAAAAGCAGTTTTGTAAAAATGTGAAGTTTCTTTCCTGAGAGCGTTGTGTATGTACTCTGACACTGCTTCTGTACAAGAAGGAATTTAAAGTCAGAATAAGAAGTTGAAAAAGTTGAGAAAGAAATGCAGGTAGATGAGTTCCATGAAGGCATGGAAGGGATCGTGGAACTCTGAGGGAAAAGGATGATTGAGGTGAGATCACTTAAACTGTGAGACAGCTAGTTTCTAGAACATGCATGAAGTTAGCAGTGTGTGCTCGAGGAAGGGCCTAATTAGGAAACTAATGCTGAGCTGTTGACCTAAAGCTTTTGAACCTCTTTTCACCCTGATATACTCTGAGTAGATAAAGGAAGGCACATTTTACCCAGCTTGTTGGCCATCCAACTCTGACCCTAGCCTATGGAGTGACTTTAGATGTCTACTGTGGAAAAAATGAAACGACTTTAATTTCCAGCTCCATCCCCATCTGGCCAGGGAGAGGATCAATTAATATCATCGTGTTTTGTCTTTAGGGCCTCTGACACCCCTGAGGACCAGCCTGTGGGACAGTCTGTCTTTGCAGGGATTCTTGGCCAGAATCAGGAGAACAGGACTCAGGACGAGGCCAGTTCACGTAACACAGCTCAGAGCATACAACACAACTTGCTCCAAGGATGTTGGGCATTGTGCTTCATTAGGAAACAAAATATAAGCTTTCCACACCATTAGGAATGACTTTAGGAGTGAAAGCACATAAGACGATGCCTCACCTCATCAACAATGCACTGCAGAAGCTGGAGAGGCTGCAATGGAAAAGAAGAGAGGGAAAAGTATTAGCCTCCGTGCAATATCTTTACAGTGGAGTGGAAAGAAAAAATCATTAATGCAATAAAATATAGCAAGATTAATCAACAACAGCAAACTCTTATAAAAACATTGATGCTCAGGATGTTCTATTATTTCTAATGGTACCTAATCTAATACAGGCAGTTAAAGGTTTGCATTTTCTTCAAAATGCAATTTGCTAAGTTTAAAACAAGGCATTCAAGCATGCAAAGGAAGCAGCCATCAGGAAAAAGAAAAGTGAATTTTTTTCTGAACTCATAAAGCTTACCATTAAAGATCCCTGGTTTTTCTGAATCTGAAAAAAGGCAATATGTAATTAGCATGTCATAATCAAAATGACTCACTTGGACACATTATGATCACTGAGAGAAAATTATTGCATTGCTGGTGGCAATTTGTGGGCATGTGTTAACACAATTTACATAATGAAAATACACAAATGTTAATAGCTCGCTTCTCATTTATAGGCGAAAGTCAGCAGAATGTTAATTTCACACAACACTTTTTAGTACCCTCCAGGTTGTATTAGAATAGGGAGAAAAACCATAATCCATTTCAAAAGGCTGTTTACGATTCAGATATAAATAATGTTTTATATTGCTAGATTGTGAACACTGGGCTTAATGTTGCAATCATTGCTAATGTTATGAAGCTCACTCTTTTTAAATTAAAAACCGATTTATTTAAAATTGAAATTAAATCATAGTCAGAAATTAGAATTTTGGATTCCTGCCAGTGTCTGCTCACAATCCCCTATTTTGTGAAGAAAACTTTAATTATGTGGTTGAAGTATTTGCTTCTAACTTGGGAGTAGGGTAGAAACTCCACCTTTTCCAACATTCCTTCAGCCTGTTTCCAGGGCAGCAAGGCTCTCTGGGACAATCAAATTCATGCAACTCTGACACTTTCTCAGGAGTAAAAGCTGAGTCCAATCAGAGAGCTGTTCCTAATCGACATTCTGAGGGCAGGCTGTTCACACTGAACACCAGGTCTCTTAGAAAGTTACCAGAATGTGACAAGATTAACATAGCATCAACTCAGTGATTAAAATATTAAATAATTCAGTGCCCCTGCATGCCTACAGTTATTTCAAACTCGGTGAAAATGGAGTCCCAGGGACAAAATTCCCTAAGAAGGAAATTTTTAGGAAGCAAATACTACTATTGATGGATCGACTATTTTCTGGGATACATGAGTGCCAACCAGTGGGTAAAGTGTAGGGAAAATAGTAATAGTCCCTAATATGTTTTTAATAGTACTTTAAAAAGTTCTTTTCATACAGACTCTCATTTGATTGGCATGACCACCCTGAGGTACGCAGGGATGGCCATCTCTAATCTATGACAGGAAAACAGGGCCTCCCAGAGGATGGGGTAGCCTGGTCTCAGACCCAGGCTGGGTGGTGCTGGGGCTTCTCCAGTGCTTTCTCTCCAGTATCTACATTACACCTGCTCACAATTACCACATTATTAAAATACCAGTGGATTTACACATTTGTATACTTGGCATGGTAGAGTTGGTAAACGCTCAGTCTTGCTGTGTACATTGTAAGCTTTTTGAGGGCAGCAGCTGTGTTTACGCATTTCTTTTGCATTCACCTGGCTTCAGCAGACCCTTCCACCTAGTATTTGAGAGTTTTAAAAGGTGCTTTCTCAACTGCCCACTCATGGCCTCCTTCCAGAAGCCTCTGTCTCAGGCCGACTGGTTCTATGCTGATGGTTCCTGCTTAGTGCTGTCCTCAATTACTGCTCCTCCTGGTTCCTTCAGTCAAGGAGACTTCCAGACAGGGCTCTGCAGGTAAAGATTTACACTAGAAGGGCAGGCAGAGCTGTTTTCCACCACTCCAGGGCAGTTAAAGAATTTAGTAATAAGCCACACCACCTTTTAAAAAACCTTGAAAAGCCCAGGTAACTTCTCCCTTGATACAAGACACCCATGATGTTTGCTTTTGTTTATTTTTTCCCAAGCATACATAGGTACTCCCTCCACCTCCAGAGTCTTAGTAAGATAAATCTGCTTCAACGGTACAGTTATTTGTAGTGAACAAAGAATTAGAAATCTGTTTAAAATTTTTAAAAAAAATTTTTAGTTGTAGATGAACACAAAACCTTTATTTTATTTATTTATGTGGTGCTGAGGATCGAACCCAGTGCCCCACACATGCGGCATAGGCAATAGCTCTACCACTGAGCCACAACTCCAGCCCTAGAAATCTATTTTTGGTATCAAAATTTTCACAAATTTCCAAGAGTCAGGGGAACATTCCAACATTCTCTGAGGAAAGCATGCAGCAAAAATTTGTAGACATGTTTGGACATGAGTTCAGGCACGGATTGTGAGACATTGTCCCTGGTAACATAAGCTGTGTGAACCAAAAGAATTGAGAGGAGAGAATTGGGATCTTCCGGAAGGCCTTCTCCTTATCCTGTTCTGCCTGTTAAAAGAGTAACTTAAAGAGAACTTGTACTATTTTAACACTTGTTCTTTGCTACAAGGAAACAGCAATACCAAAGTCTTTTTTATGATCCTATAATTATCCTGCTTTGCCCAGGTTTTTAAAGAGAGATGTTGTTACCAGGTTTTATTATGTAGTTCTGATAGCAACATATTATATGAAATCATCTTCATAAATTTTGTATTAAGGTAGCAGTGCCAGTACCTGAAATTGATTCCAAATGCTTAAGATACTCAATTACTTTTTAACACTATTATACAATGCAGTGACTTATATCTTCGATATCACAGAATTTGATGATGTAACATCATTGTAATTGATTCATTTTCTCAATTAAATAAAGCTACTGTGCTTTTCTTTATAGGAATGCCACACAGACCATAGATGTATTGTCTCCTTTTCCAGCCTCAGATATATTGCCTTAAAGGCTGTATTCTGTTCCTCTGTTAATTCCACCAGAAAATTTAATGCCACAGTCATATTTTTCAAATTCTGAACTGCCATGCACTAGACTGTATTTATATTAGGCATATTTTTCACTGCTAAACTCTTTGTTGTTTACCTTTTTCAAGATCACATTATTGTACGGGCACAGCAACCATAAAACAGATTCAAACAAAGTCAACCTCCAGTCATTGCCTCTGCTTTTGCACACAGTTCATGAAAAAGTGAAGCCCCTAGTTTTATAGCACATTAAAAGTGGTACTAAGGGTACTCAATATAAAATGTTAGCTTTGTGAACGCCTATCTTTATTCTAGGTCTGCCTTCCAAATGCCTGGCTGCAGAGCAGAGTTCAGAGGAACACAATAATATTGTTAGAGCTGACGTATTGCCTGCCCCTCGCAACATATGAAATGCTGTTTATAACTAACGTGTCGAAGTCCACATTCCTGCTTCTGCATTTTACCTGTGTTGAGCGGTTTCTATGCCTAACTAGTAATTGGGGACAATAACAGAACAATAATTGTTCCAGACATGTATTTTGCTAAAGAGTCTTTAGAACTAGTAGTGTTTTGATTCACTAATTAGATGAACCTTTCCCCTCTTCTGGGCCCAGCTTTCTTTTGTCAGCTGTTAGATCCAAGGTTTAAGGCCAACCTAACAGGGTACAGTTATGCCTCGTTCTCATGTAAGACAGACCTGTAAGTGTTTTTAAAAGGGAAGAATGACTTTATTTAAAAAAGGAGTCTCAAGTACCAGTTAGGTCTTTCTATTATTATATTGACGTTTATTGTGTATTTCTTTGCAAAGACCACATAGTTGGTAATTAGAAAAACTCCTATAATAAGACATATGACTTGGGAAAATGATGCTGGAAAAGAAATTGACAATAAAAAGTTTGTGTGCGGGGCCTCAACTATTTAGTCAATGGTACTGGTGTTAAAAAGTTATTACTGTGGTTTCCCTTCTGCTTTTTTCCCTGTAGAGATTCTTTTTACATACAGTGGGAAAACAGACCTTGCTACCAGCCCTTTACATTATATTCAGAGGCACAATCAGAAAACTGAAATGCATCCACCTATGTAACTTAGAGAAGACACCAGCGATAGCTTTCATTTTCTCGTTTTACTCTCTGAAATTATGGCTTGCCCTGAAGCTCTTGTCTGAGAGATTTATGTGTGACCTAGGTCAGATCTTCCAATATCAGTTGACAAATTTTCTCTTTACATATTTACTGCTTTTCAAGCTTGTGTTATTTTCTTTTAAATAGAAAAAGGAAATATAAAATAACATTGTATGGTTGGAATTTTTAAAGAATATCAGTGTCATTTTTTTGTGCTGCTGGTATCAGATTCTTGCTTTCAACACTGAACTATTCACCCCCTCCTTTTTTGAAAACTTCAAATTTTGGGCACTGTAGTTATTTTGCAAAGACTCTTTTTTTTAAAGACAGTATTTTTTTTTTTTTTTGGTGCATAATGCTATAACCCTGGATAAATAAACAGGGATTATGTCAAACTGGGAATTTCATATTCTAGATGAAGAATTATAACCTTAAAGAACTTTTCAAATGGAAAGAACCTCAAAGGTGCTTTAGTCCAACTTGCTCAATGTGCCATTAAGGAAACTGAGGCTCAGAGCAAACAGTGTCCAGGGTCACAGATGGAGCCTGGCCTGACAGTTGGCTCAGAGGCTGCCTGCCGGGGAAATGCACAACTTGGGAATCAAAGACCCTGGAATCAGATCCCAGGGGCCTCAGCCAGCTTCTCCCTCAATGGGGCTCAGTGCTGTTGTCTACACAGCGAGGAAATGGGCTACAGGAGCCCAGGTTCCTTGAAGGCTCCCATCCAGAGCTCTGTTTCCCAGCCAAGGAGAACAGTACCAGCACTAGCACTGGGCTAGGTGCTCACACACAGAGATGCAAGAAATGAAGGGTCTGCACATTGGGAAACCTTTAATGAGAGAGAGAAGAAAAAAAAATCACTTCCACAGCTTTATATCCATTCCCTTGTGCCACTAACTTTTAATTTTTTTTAAAGGAGTATAAATGGGAATGTTGATAAGGGGATATTTTCACTGAATGTCATATGAGACAAAACAATGGAAAATAGACATTACTTCTAAGGATGTAACACGAACAAGCATAATTTACTTGTGCCATCCTATCTCCCCTGTCTATCAGCTTCTGTCCTTGTTCCTGTTCTTATCATGCCTATGAGTCTATCAGTGAATCTGATGTAGGGTTCAAGACAAAAAGAAGTTCTAAGAGGACTCTGCAGGCAGCTACTGAATAGGGTCTGAGAAAGTCACTGTGACTCCCACATTCCAAGATCTGCTCACTGGCACCTTCTCTCTGGCCCATGTCTCAGACTCCAGTTGAGGTGCTGTATTCGGGAGT